TATAGATAGACGCATTTTATCTTGGCTTGAGAGTGGTCTTGATGCTGCAGAAAGTTGCTTGAGACCTTGGTTCTAGCCTCATCTCTGCCTTATTTCCCTCCAAACTGAGTTTTCATTTCTGCCAGTTCTAACCTGTCCTGTTTCGTAGCATTCTGCTACTGAGAGATCAGACTACTAATCAACAGACCAAACAATTTCCCCCTCCCTCCCTCCTTTATTTTAATCCTTCTTGTAATGTTTCACTTACTACAGCTTCAACTACAGTTTTGGAAGAGGTAGTCATGTTAGTCTGTTGCAAGCATATCAGGCAAAATCCAAAACAAGACAAGACAACATAATGTGGTACTTCAAACTCTAGCTATTATATTTTAATGTGAGCTTTTGTGGAACAAGACAACATAATGCGGTACTTCAAACTCTATTATATTTTAATGTGAGCTTTTGTGGACATGCCCACTTCATCGGATATATGAAAACAGAATGAAAAGATGAACAAAATATTCGTCTCACACTAAATATTGATTGGCTCTTTATGGCATCTGTTGTTTTATTTCTCTGCTGTAAAAATTCCTCAGAAGACAGAAACCAGACACCAGGCCTGGGCAGAGATGGAGTGTGTGTGTGAGGAGTTGGAGATAGGGGGATTCACTGAAAACTCTAAAAAGAGATATATGTTTTTAAAGAGAAACCTAAGAAAAAGAAAAAAAAATCAAATACTGTATTAAACTTTGCTGATCTGGTTAAGCTTGCTGTATTCATTTAAGAACGTTATCTCTATAAATCTTACCTGCAAGAAAAAGGGGCTCTTACTTGAACTGAGTTGCTTCTCTTGGGCAAACTAATGGCATGTCTGCTCCACAGCCGTATGTAATGCCTTTCTAATGAACAAAATTACACCCTCCACAATAATTCTGCACCTGAAATAACACCCACATAATGTTTCTTTTTCTGAAGACATAAGAAACATTGTAATATTTTTGCCTAATATGTTCAAAGAGGGTTGTGATTTAAAAAGGAAACACAGACAAGTCTGAAGCCAACCACATCCTTTTGCCAACTTCCGTAGTGCAAACAGCACAATCTAAAACAGGAGAACAGGTATTGGATACGCGTTCTTGTGTTTCAAGTACCAGCAGGTGATATTTCACTGGGATCTTGTTAAAAATGAAATAGAAATAAGAGATCACTACACATGAATGTATTTGGATGAGTGCTAGACTAAGGAAATTTAATATATAAACTGGGTAGGATCCAGATTGAGGCATGTGCAACAAATCTGGTGGAAACAGACATCAAGTTTTTATTTTCTGTCAACTGTGGAAGATAGCTGGGATATTCCAATATCTTGTCAATGAACAAGTGAATGAAGTTGAACAGGGTGACAGAGATCTTCCCTGTCAATGAACACCTGCATTTTCTGCCAGTATCTCCCAGGATACAAAAATCTGATATTTAATTATACTAACACCTAAAACTGTATGCTGCCTCATTACTAACACGTACGTGCACATCACCTAAAGATAATGGGCTGGCATCACAGTTCAAGTGCCTGAAGTCCTATACTCATTAATGTGAGGGAGACCCTCTGAACTAAGAGCTCAACTACACATCATGATACTCCTGATTTTGCACTGGGCTCAGCATGCTTCAAACTGATTTTAAACTACCCATCAGCACACAGTACAACTGTGTACACTTTTATGGTCAGAAAATGATTTTTTAAAAAATACCCATGAGATTTTTTTTTTAAAGTCAATCCCGGTGACTTTTTAAAGACTTGTTTTTTGACATGTGTGAATGCCTGTGTTGGAATAAATAGTATCTGCTGAAATCTGCAGGGTTTGCCAAAACCAGCGCCAAGTACAAGGGATTTTGGACTGCAGGAGTTTCAAAACTGGTTTCTACTTTATTGCTGCATTTATCTAGTGCTAAGCCAGTTCAAAAATAAAAATAAATAAACATTGACATGAGGAGGCTGGAGACAAGCTGTTGCTGCTGACACAATCATCCTCCCAGCTGGGTTTGAACTCGCAATTCTTGCTTGCCTGACCATTTTCTGGAAACTCCCCCTTGCCAAAACACACATTCCCTCTCAGTTCCATGGAGTTCCCTGTGATTGGAGAAAACAGGGTGGCTGGTCTTCAGAGCAAGGAGAAGCTGCTGCCAATGACCCATCTTCCTTCTGGCCTAAGAGAAGCCTTTGCCAAGCAGATTGCTGGAAGCTGGAAGACACTCCCTCTCCTACTTACAACATAGAGGCAGGATACACAAAAACCCACATGATGTTATATCAATTCTAAAATGACACAAACCAGCTCCCAATTTAATTCAATAGTGTAGTCACAATCTCAGTGTTCAGCACATATGGCTGGGCCTGAGAAATAAATAAAAAAAGATATACACAAAAATGTCCAACCTCTCATAGAGCAATAACAAGAAATCCAAAATAAAGTTGATCTATTTAGTCAGTAGGATTTATGTAATTGTTTACTTACTCAGTAGGCCTAATTTAGTTGGGACTAACATTTGGATTTAGGACATATTCTCGCATCTTCCTCTAATAAGATATTGTTTTCCTTCTATAAACCAAGTGTCTCTAGAATAACTGCTGTTGGGCTAGAGAGGAGCCATGTTGTTTCCTCTCAGCCTTGTCTCTCCATCATGCTGATGCTGCCCTCTTTAAGCTGGCAAAAAGAAACTAGAAGCAGCTCAGTGACACAGTTCTAGGGACACCAAAACTCCTTCAGAATAACTGGGTTTTTTTGTTAATTTGAGTACTGTGAAAAACTGAAGTCATAACCAAAGTGTTCCTCTCTTACTCATTATGTCCTTTTAAAACCCGTTTGTGGCATTTTAAAAATTGTTTAGCTTTTGATTTTCAGTGCTATTGCAGGAGGAGTCTGGGCTGGTAAAATACAATTAACATATCCAGTATGTTCTATGACAACTTGATTTTTCTGTCTTGTCTTTACTTCCTACAGGACCACGGTAACTATTCCTCCTGTCTTGTAACCCATTTTTTAAATGTTTAGAGTTTTATCGGCTGATTGCAGTAGAAACTAGGGAATATACAATATTGTTTACATGTTGCATGTCCTGCATCACATTCTTCTGTTACTTTGCAATGGCCTGTATTTGTCTTTCTTTTAAAAATGCTCCTTTAACTTTTGCACTCAAGCACAAAATATGGGCAATAATTTTTTGCTTGGAAATTATTACTGGTGTTAATGTGATTTTCATTTCGTGGATGTCCTTTTGCTGTGTTGTCACCCCACATAACCAAGACCAATAGGAATATAAGCCTGCTTGGAATACTCAGAATGCTATACATTCAAAGTGGGTTGCTATTCATGAAGGCTCAGGATAAAATAAATGTGAGCCTCAAAGATGCCATAAGACCCTCTTTTTCTAAAAACAAATCCTTAACGCTGTTTGTACTTTCACCATATCCTGCACTGTGAGCCCTTTCCTCACTAGCTTTCTTAATTTCTTTTAAACAAGATGTTCCTATTTTCTCCTTCCTTGTAGCTAAGGAAGACTGAAGGTCCACCTAGGACCCTCATGCAAGTGGCCTCCTGTGGTTTCCTCTTTTTTTTGGCTATACTATGGGGACGGTCATTAATTGCAATGATCTTATCATGATAGTCATATCAAGCCTTATGAAGTGGCCTATCGAATTATGGTGGTAGATTTCCTTCCAGCTGAAGAGCAATGTCTCAGAAGCAGTAAAAGGCATTAGTGCGGAAAGGGTCACCGACCGGACATTGCATGGGTCCCAACTACAGGAGCTGAGCCTTGCTCAGGACCACAGCTTTAATCAGGCCCTTCAGCCCATTTCTGTCCAGACTGCAAGGTGCTCGGCGCGGCACTTGCGGCGGAAAAAAACGTCGCACCCTTCCTTGCGGCGCTTCCCTCCCTTCTGGCTGCCCTTTTTTCGTTTGAGTTGCAGAAGCGCGCCACGGCTTGGCACCGGCTCGCGCTGCTTCCTCGCGTCGAACCGTGGCGCGTCACGTGAGAACGAGGGAAGCAAGAGGCTGCCCTTGAAAAATGGAGGGCCTCCGAAGCCGAAAAGCCCCTTCCTTCTCTCCCCCCCCAACCCCCGCCTTTCATAGTCAAGATTAGGAATAAGCGCGTTGGCAAGAGGAGCCCCCCCCCCCAATTCTCCAGTGCGGCCCGCCAGGGGGGGCGGGAACGAAAAACCCAGCGGGACTACAGGGGAGGGGGTGAAAAAAAAAGGAGGCTGCGTGGAGCGACCATTTCCTCCTGTGCTTCACCCCGGGTGGCGGCAGCCACAGCCTCTCCTGTCCCTGCGGGCCGTTTGGGTTGCCTCGGAAACACTGCCAGACCGCCGTCCAGCTTAGGCGAGAGGAAGGCGGCACAGCCGGGCCCTCCCGGGTAGCCTAGCGCAACATCTCTCGCCAACGCTGGGCAGACGGGACGGCGGCGGGCGCTGAAGCCACACACGACCCCCCAAGCGCCCGACTCAAAGCCTCCCCCCTTGACTCTCTCAGCATCCCGTCTGACGCACCTGCCCTCCTTCTTTCCCTCCCTCCGTGCCTAAATAAAATTAATTAAAATAGGCGGCGGTGGGGGGGGGAACAGTGGTCACTGAGGAGGAGAAGCCGCGCGCTTTGCAGCTTGAGGGAGGAGGCGAAGAGGCGGGGCTTCCGCAGGGCCCGGCTGCTGCGAGGTGCAGCAGTGCGTGCCTTTGCGCGCGCGCGTCTGTATGGTGTTTGTGTGTGTGTATGTGTCTATGTGTACAAGGCTGTCGTCGCTGGGGTGGGATTGTTGCCTTCGGTAACCAGGCAGCCGGCCCGTGGCTTTCCCTCTCAACTCCGAAACCGGGTGACTCGGGCGGGAAGCCGCGGCTCCGGCATCGTTTCCAGAGGGCACTTTGGAGGGGCTGAGCATCGCCAGGAAGCCGCCGCCGCCAAAACAGCCTCTTTCGTGTCTATGTGTACAAGGCTGTCGTCGCTGGGGTGGGATTGTTGCCTTCGGTAACCAGGCAGCCGGCCCGTGGCTTTCCCTCTCAACTCCGAAACCGGGTGACTCGGGCGGGAAGCCGCGGCTCCGGCATCGTTTCCAGAGGGCACTTTGGAGGGGCTGAGCATCGCCAGGAAGCCGCCGCCGCCAAAACAGCCTCTTTCGGAGAAGCGTCCCGGGTTGAGAGCCTGAAGGAAGGAGGTACGACCAGCGGTGCCAAAGGAGGCAACTTTGCCCCCCCGTCTTGGCGGGCTCCCAGCGCCTTGGCAACTCTGCTTGCAAGGCGACGCTTCTGCTTTCTGCGCTGTCATGTCTCGCGTGGGAAACGGGATGGGCGACATGGGGCCGGGCAGGTACCAAGGACAGCATTGCTCCCGCTCGCTGCCTTTGGGATCCGCAGAGTTCCGAGGGGTTTTCACGGGTTGGCACGCGCGTGTGCACGCCTGGCTGTAGGGACGAGCTTGGCCGCGAGTGGGAAGGAGGAGGCTTGAGATCAAAAGAGCTCCGCTCGGCTACGGCCAAGTCCTCACGGAGGCTGTGCGGATCCGCCGCGGTTTGAGTCGGCGGACTTGTAAGTTAACGGGACGAAATCATTTCCAAGTCCAGGTAGCAGGCTTGACTAGTTTCTGGATCTGCGCCTTGTGTGAGAACGAACTCTGTGATGAAGTCGAAGGGCTAGTTGATTTTAGCAGGATGGGGAGTAGGCTTGAGCTACTGTCTTCAAATGGCATCTAAGATATATTTGTAAGGGATACTCTCAAATCCATGCTTTATCTTCAAGCCGTGCAGCTGAAAGCAAAGAAGAGATGACTGACTACTACTACTACAACATTACTGCCTACTTGACTCTTGACGTTTGTTTGTTTGTTTATTGCTAGCACAAAAATTATTCAACTGATATGAACAACCTGTTTGGGGGAAAAAAACATTTAGAGGATGATTATTTAATTTGCTGGGTTATTTACACACAAAATCCTATGATTTACCTGTTAATTCTTATAATGCTGATCCTGGAGACACATCTTAGTTCAGGCTTGCAGGAATCAGTTGATTTATAGTTGGTTCTGGTCAAAGCACCTTCTCATACATTTTGTGGACTGGTGCTTTAAAAAGCCCAGAACTTCTGGCCTATAATGTATTGTTATGCTGCATATTTTCACACTAGCAACCTGCCTTGCATGCAGAGCAGTCAGTGTTAATGACAAAGAAATGACAGGCTTTCCTGAAGGTTTGTATGACTACGTTTGTAGCCATAGGGCTGTAAACACCTACAGTGTGTTGAAATCAGACTAGTATTTGTAAATTGTGAAGTAATTCTTTTATTTCCAGTACCAAAACAGGTGTGTTTTTGAATCAGAGTCTGTAAAAGGCCTAAAAAATTAAGTGACCCTAAAATAGTTGTTGTGGGTTTTTCGGGCTTCTTCGGTTTGCTGCACAGTTTGCTGTCCTCTGAAGATGCCGGCCACAGAGACTGGTGAAACGTTAGGAAGAACCACTTTCAGAACACGGCCAAGAAGCCCGAAAAACCCACAACAACCATTAGATCCCGGCCGTGAAAGCCTTCACGAATACATTGACCCTAAAATAACTGGGGAAAATGTCATTTTGAAGAAAACAAATTTATACTGAATTTTTATTTAAGTATGAATTAAAGGGTCATTAATCAAGGTTGCAGTCACAGGCATACTCTGAGAGAAAAATAATTGAATTCAATGAAAAATTTTCAGTAAATATGCTCTCTCTCTCTCTCTTCCTCCTTACTACAATCCTCTAAATGTTTACTGGCCCAAGTTCATTCAGAGAGCTTCATGGCTAATAGGAATTTGAACCAAGATTTCCTGAGGCTCTGTCCACTGTACCCCATGTTGCACTATAAATAAGTCAAAGTTTTTTATAACAGACATCTGCTAGTTACCTTAAGGAGCACTCGCTGTGCTCTTCAATTTAGCAAAGACTACTTCAGATGAGAATAAGTAATAGATAGCATAATATTCCCAACAGTTTTAACAAAGGCTCCCTTCTAGATTTATTGTGCAGTTTGCAACATAACTAACAGCCATCTGGTCTGCAGGTAAGTAGACAGAGTTACTTACAACTGAGTGCCTAAAGGGTGCTAATGAGAAGAAAGATCTTTGGCTTGCCATAGTACAGTATGCTTCTCCCTTCAACAATGCTGGGGTTAGGGGTGCTGAACTGCCATGTAGTTCAAAATCTGGGTATAACACATATGCCCCCCAAATGTGACTACTGTACAAAGCATAAATAATTCATATACACACACAAACAAAGAAAGAGTTCTCTTCCATAACATTGCCAAGCCCTTATGATCCCCTGATTTAGATACTGAATTAGAGATGTTGTGTTTGGGGGCAAGTAGACCACTTTGACACCTTCAGTGCTGAACCCATGGGGTTCTGGGTGGCAAGGGGCACACAATATTTATTGAATAAAATCCATGTATAACCAAAACCATAATGTTCGAACCCATGAAGTTCAAGAGAGAAGTGTAATCCCATACCAACAATATAACAGGAATAAAACGGTATCTCTTACACAGAGAGAGAGAGAGAGAGAGAGAGAGACAGACAGACAGACACAGACACAGACACAGACACACACACACACACAAACACACACACACACACATATGCCTTAAAGCAAGTTGATGGGAGCCAAAAACAAAATAGCTGCTGTTTATGAAATCCTATTTTCCTAAATCACATTGGAATTGCCAATGGGACATAAATATGAATTCCTAATGTTCATATGAATCTAGGTGGGAAGGGATGCTGTCTCTAGACACAAACTATTATGAGTGACAGCCTCTCTGTCAGCCACTAAGTGAACTATAACAGGATGGATATTAATCTTGGAGCTATGTGTAGTTGTGTAAGCAGTGAGGTCTATCTATTATATTTGATACGGCTTTCTTATGTAACAGAATCTAAGCAATAAATCTGAAAAGTAAAATGTATATTTTTGGCTTATCAAGCATGAACTTCAAAAGTTGAAGGGCAAAGAGATTTTTCTAACTTCATGGACAGAGTTCCTGCTTGAGAAAGTTGACTCGGCTCTGCTATTTTTAACAAAGCTATTGTAAGTTACTGAAATTGATTATACGAGCTACAGTATCTAGGAAAAGAAAATGTTTTCTTGTTTTCAGAAATAGAGTAGAAAATGTAGTTTGGTATGACAGCTATACATCAGGGCAGAAAATCTTATGATATCTTATTATTTTTACAAGACCTGTCAAGCTTATGTAATCTTCATATTCGATATGTACTCTAGCCAGATGGAGTACCTTAACTGTTTAGTTGCCTGGGGGTAAATCCCACTGAACTTCCTATAGCAGTGCTTACGTCTGTGTAAATGTGCATGAATCATATTACATGCATAGTTGCTCCTACTGGACTGCAAAGTTGAAGTGCAAATACTACTGAATTCAGTGTCTAGGATCCTGTTGCGTTCAATCTTACATGTAACAGACTGTTGCAAGAGTTGTTCATATTTTCACCCCTTAAGCAAGGAGGTATCCAGTATCCTGTTGTTCAAGCAGGCTGGGTTTTATTGATTGAGGTCACTGCTTGCACAATAACAACACTTGTGTAAGCAGTAGAATCCAACATTACTATGGTGGTAGTAAGATCCTGGCCAGTGCAATTTTCTTTTGAATAATCATGCTTAGGAAAGGGAAGTAGAATTGATTTCCATCCATTTCAACTTCCATTTCTGGCACACTTAACAAATCAACTGGAATCAGATTTTAAATTGACCTGCTTCTTGTTAGCGCATACTCTGGATTAATATTATTTCTTTGTTTAGATTTTTGTCTCCATTAATAAAACTGGATAGCTTCCTTTCTCCTTTTAAAAATTGTATTTCAGTAAGTCAGTTGTTACCCCAGGATGCCACAACATTTTTGTATTATAGACTGAAATGGCCACTTTTCTTTGATTTGTCTTTATGTTTTTGTTATATCTTGAGAAATGTGGAAAAACATTGAAAGTAAATATTCCTGTATGTACTCATCATCCTGAACTAGTGAGGAGGAAGTAAATAAAGCTAGTCATGCACTTAAAGTTAGGCATGAAAGTAAGAAAATAATAATCTTGCATGTTTCTGAACTGACCTCAGAATTGCCTTTGACACATTAGCCTCATGGCATACTAACCCAGATTATTCTCATGCTGCATAGTGTAAGTCAACAGCATGTGTTAAATTCACAGGGGCCACAGAGTGCAATCCAAGCAGGACAAGTATTTCCCTTAAAATGCTCTGGAATGTAGGAGTAATGGTGTGGGTTGGGAGGACAAAATACATTCTCTCTGGCTCACTTCTTAGAGGTAGAATGCTGCTTTAAGGTAGCACCTCAAAGTGAACCTGTTTAACACAATGAAGACTGTTCCAAGCTGGGATAATCTATCTGCTTGTTTTAGTTTTTGTTTAATTGATGTTTTTAATTCTATTGTTTTTTGGACTGTAAACTGACCAGAGTAGATTTATCTAGATGAGTGGTATAAAAGCCAAACAAACAAACAAATATTTGCAGCCTGAGTCCACTGGTTCAGGATTTTTGGAGAGTGGCTGGTTGTGGAAGGTTTCTTTACAGTGTAGTTGAGAGGTGGGCTGTACCAGAAATGAAAGAAACCAGAGATGGGCACAAATTGAACTACGAACCAGAAAAGCTGATGAATCAGCCCCTGATTCATGATTCGGTTTGTGACCCAGGTCAGGGATTCTGTTTTGCCAAAATGAAACAACGTATCAAACTCTTTCCCCCTTAACACATTGTCTTGCCTGCCTGGCTCCTTCCCACTGCCCCATTGCCTCCCATATGCTAATACCTGTGCACTAGAGGATTGTGGGAGGAACACCTAGCCCCTGATGGGGGTCCCATGGGGCACCTCAAAACACTGAGGAGCTCTCATGGCCTCTGGCAGGACTGGGACTGTGCAGCCCTGTACTGAGCAGGAGGTGCAGCCAGGGTCACCATTGCTTTGGGGGGGGGCAGGGCACAGAAAGGGGTGGGAGATGCAAGGGCCATTCCAACTCATACCTTGCAGGGGAAATACCATAGTCATGAAAGTGGTTTTTCCAGGATAAGACTCATTGATTGCACTTTGGGTGTGCTGATCCCTATGATTTCCCCAAGTGTACGGAATTCAACTGCATAATTTGTGTTATAAGGGGATTGTATTTAT